GACGGCGGGGCACTGCAAGAAATGTCAGGGTACACTTGCTGTGAAGGGTTTTTCACTTAAGCTCTTTATGTCGCCTTAAATGTCGTTTGGTATCGTTCTCCCTCGTGTAGCAGCGCTCAGTCTTTAGATTCCAAGTGTTTAAAATCAATGCAAACTGCGCATGAGGAAGAAAGTAGCAAACATTCTTAATGGCGTTAGTGGTTAGAGGTTTTCTCCTTTTTTGCTCCTTACCAGTCGGTGGGCACACCCAGAGTCTTACTGCACCTGGAACGATTTTGTGAGAATGATCTTGTACACGAGAAGGTCCTTCTGACAAACGAATGTTAATTTCCGAGGGATTGTTACTGTCCCGTGGGCACTTTTCGTCTGCTTTACTCTTCAGTGTTGTGTCTTTTTCAGAAGATGTGGTTACAGGTTTAGAGAGATGTAGTTATAGGTAGTGCTGTAGCCGAGGCTGCAGTGACAATATGTTCTCATGTGCCTAATGCCCATAAAATGTTCATTTCTTGCTCACAGCATTACTCACACGATTGAACTCTTAGACACACACGGGTATTTTCTTCATGAACAGCTTAGCTGAAGTTTTTTTAAAAAGCCTGTCTTTCTTTGCTTTATTTATCACTACTGTCTCACCATACAGAGTTTTCATCTAATGTTAATTATTTGAAATGCATGAAAGTGGTGTCTAAGTAATGCAATGCAACAAATGCTGAGGAACTGCGAGATTCTGCAGAAATACCTTCTCAGTATGGGCAGGCGTTCCTCTTGTTTGTGTCTCTCCAGCTGAAGTAGAGTGTGGCTACTTCTTGCCGGGAGGAAGAGCCTGTTCTCACAGCGGCGTTGTGGCCGAGTGATCTTTTGCTAATAACTGATATAATATAATAATCTTTTGAAAGAGAAACTGAGTCCTGTAGTCTGTATCTTGGTTACTTTTGAGGCAGTGGCAAAGGCGGCATAACTGGGAATTGAGTTATCCCCAGGACGCTGTGAATGAGCCCTGTGGTAATCCATGGAGCAACAGAATAATCTTGAGCAATAGGACTGTTAGGAAAACCTGCTGTACCCGTAGTTTTCCAACTCCTGGTCTGTGTAGCGCTTGAAATCATTCAGCTGGTCGTAACGTGCCCTGCTCTGTCCACAGTCATGAATCAAGAGCTGCTGATGTCCGTGGAGTCTCGTATTCCATGATTTACTTTGATTGTTGCTGAGAGATGGTGTCAGTGCAAACAGGCACCGAGGAGGATCAAGTGCTTTTTCATAGATGGTGCTCTCAAGAGGGTTTTATCGGTTTTATTTTGAGACCATCCCACGCCGGGAGCATTCAGTGTTTTATTGATGCAAATTACACGTCAGTGCGTTTGTGCTGTGGGTAATCTGCCTTCTCTAGTTTTGCCCTTCTGAAATTCCTTCATGCGACTTTTTTTGTCGTCTTTTTTCCTCCGAGTTTCTGTCCTGGGAAAGGTAGCTGACAAGTCATGTATGCCTGGGCCACCAGTGCATATCCTGGGTGCATGGATACCTTTTTGCTGTCCATCCATGTCTAGATCTTACTTACCCCATTCACTGAAAAACTTTTATAAGAAATGTTTTAACAGGTAATTTTAACCAATTCTAGAGCAGTAAATTGTGGTAATCCCCTTGATTCGTAATGGTGGGAGCATGTACTGATAATGCTGTTCTAGAGAATAAGGCTTGCCGTTTTTCCCCAGTCTCAGTCACTCTGAGAGGGATATAAAATAAAACGAATACAAACGAGAATCTCCTGAAAGAAAATGCTGGTTCTGGTGCTTCCCTTCTACACAGGCTTCTCTTTTGAAGAATTTTGTAGATGTTGATTCACAGAGATGGGAGAAAGGAATTAAAAGAGCTGGGTAAAGACAGCCCACAGAATAATAGAAGGGATTGGAGTCTGAAAGGCATTTGCAGCACAGTGGACGTGCTTCTAATTACCTGTACTCACCTGTCATCCCTGCTACGAAGTCTGTGTGATCCTCCACTGCCCGGTAACACGTTTCCCAGCTAGACACTGCATTTTCAGTTCCGAAAAAAGTTACTCGGTCCCATTTTCCATCGGTATGAGAAGACTCGTCAAACTGAACAAAAAATCGCGCTTCTCGGTAACCGATGGTGGCGACTCCCGGGAGGTGCTTGCGGTGCGGCTCCGGGCGAGACCCCCTCGGGCGCGGCCGTGAGGCGGCTGCAGTGTCGTGTCGGCGCCTCCGGGTGCCGCTGTTGGGCCGCCGCCGAGCGTTGCTGGAGCCGCCGCCGCCGCCGCCTGTGCGTGCTGTCCCCGCAGGCTGCTCGCTCGGCCGGGCAGTGCGGGCCAGAGCGGCAGGGGCACGGGCAGCAGAGGCGAGAGGCGGCGCGGGCAGCAGAGGCG